TGGGCACATACTCCCAAAGTTTCAGCCTTCTAGCTTTTCTGATTCTGGAGTTGAAAATGAGTGACAAAAAATGTGAACACACAGTATGTGCTCTTGCCAGTAGCGTTTTTGCAATTTGTATATGTGCAAAAACGCATAAAAACCATGACAGATTTTCAGTACTGTAACAGAAAAGAAAAAATTTTACGAAATTAATCTGTTTTTTTATAAATTAACAAAAATTATAGCAACATAACGTGTCATTAGAAATCAATTACACACTAAACGAACTTGTTGTAAGGATAGCCTTCCAGGGTCGGCCTTCAACATCCTTCATTTGGGGTGTTATGGAAACATTATAATCTCGGCCCGGTATTAAATTTCCAAGATAAATTTCGATATACTGCTGTTCCGCGATATCATACACTTCCAGTTTCGGAAAATATCGCAGTGGATCGAGCTGAATGTAACTTATGCGGAAAGTGTCCTGAAAACTTTTAAGTTTTTAAGCATTAAAGATTGCTTCTATTTTTATTGGAGTGGGACATAAAATCCAAGATAACGAATTTTGCAGCAATATTCAAATTTGAAAAACACTTCAGAAGTACTTTTACAATTCTGCACTCAATTTTGTGTAAAATGGCAATTTTTGCTGAATATATGAAAACAAATGAACTGAAAATAAGTATCAACTGTTTTGAATAACTCTTCGACAATGAATGTGATAAATGGTCCCATCTTCATTATTTGCATGCTGCTCCCCCTGAACAAGCGGAGAGTTAAGACTTTAAGGTTAACAAAAAACATGATGTGTTTATTGAACTTATGCAGTAAATTTTTGGTCAGTAATTCAAGAACAGTGTCTTTTGTCAAAATATAATTTTTTGATTACTTGAGAATCCGACCCAAGGCCCGTTTGGTGCTAATCAAGCTAGATTTAACTTCTTTTTAGCTTTTTATGCGTTTTTGCATATATGCAAAAACAAATATTGTGACGACCCCGGTGTGTGTGTGTATGTGTGTGTGTTTGTGTGTGGGTGTGTGTGCGCGCGCGCGTCTGTCCGGGTATTTCAACTCGGCACCCAAACAAGCTCCGGCGTCAAAATTTTGCGAGTGGGTTCGCCGGCCAAGTGCCACCCCAGGACCGCGGTACAAATCCTCAAGCACGTCTAGGCCCCGTGTGTGAGCTCCTCAAAGTTCTGGCGGGAAAATCGCTAACTTGGGAACCAGAAAAGCTAGAAAGCTGAAATTTTGGGATT